ATCCTAGTGGTTTAAAATGATGGTTTTGTGAAATAATTGGAAATGTTATTATCAGTTAAATTAGAAATGTTTGATTAACATTCAACTTTTTTAGAAATGTTTTCATTTTTTTTTTAAATCCTGATGGGGAAAATACTTGATAGAAGGATGTAAATAATTTTCATTCTCACACAGAAGTAATATGCTTAGCTCTTATTGTGGGGGAAAAAAGCAAAATACAAGCGTGTTTTTTTTTTTGAGAATTAATGTCTAAGAATATTGTTTCAATGCTGTATCTGGAATGAGAGTACATATTTTCTAGTTCACTTTCACAAAATAGCTTTACAAACCTTAGAACAATTATATTATTGGATGTTCGAATATTGATTTGTGTGTAGATTTCTCTGCATTTGTGTCGTTTTTATATTCTCATGAAACTAGGCAATTTTTGGCTCTCTCTCTAGACTATAGTCTCATGAAGACTAAGGCAAGTTTGACCTTTCTATATCTAATCTTATTTGGATTCGTTATCAAGAGTAAGATCTTAGTTTAATTACCTGAGATGTGCTAAATATTGTTTACCAACTTTGTAAAGATATTGAAAATTAATGTTCCATCTTAGAAAGAAGCCACTGACAAATTGACATTCTTTCTTGGCCCATGTTTGAAAATTTTCTCTTAAAGCAAAAACATGTGATCGATTTGATGTCTGAATTTGAATTTGTAGCCAAGCATTGCTTTGTTAATTTTCACTTTGTAGTTCTAGTCAATTTCAATAATCAATAACCGTAGTCTAAAAAGAAAGAGGGATGGCCTAAGGCGTAATATTCTTATCTATGGCAATAAGATTTTCTTTTCTTCTTAGCTTACTTTTGAACATCTGAAGTGACTTGTGGAGGCAATGTCACGTGAATACAAAATTGTGATTGTGATCCAAAATTTTCATTGATGGTTTGGCACGTATGTAAGTATGATAAAGATGTTATTTAGAAATGTCATATCCTTTTAATAATATAATTTAAGTCTAAATATGGTTAATCCTTATAAACGAGTGAGTTTTGATTTTTTTTATAAACTTTTTCATCTTATAAAATGAGTAAAACTTAATTTTAGTTCTCGTAAAATATTTTATTTTATTTCACTTCTTCAAAATTTAAAATTAATATTTTAATTGTTAATATTTATTTTAAAGATTGATAGTTTTTTTTAAGGTATCAATATCACATGCTAACATTGTAATATAAAAATTATTACGTGTTACTTGCAATGATCACTTTATCTTTATTGAACAGATAATTAATAAACAAATATCACATAGTATTAGAAAATAAAGATAATGATTTCAGCTTTTTGAGGAATGAGAATTAAAGAGATTTTTTTTCAAAAATTATAATTAAAATTCACTTATTTTACATGAATTAGAAACATGTTTTAATCTAAAATTTATATTTTTAATTTAAAAATAAATACATATTTCACTTTAAATTATCAACACAATTGTTGAAAAGGTATAAAGTTATACTTTATTTAGAAATGAGTAGTGATATATATAATACGTATCAGATACCTTGTTTATATTTATTATTTCTCCTTGTTGCTCTTTTTTGTTTTCGACATCAAATCACTTATTATAAATTATTTATTTTTCTCTCTTTTTTATGTGTCAATGAATGGTTTTCCCGGCTTTGGATATTGATTAAGAGACGTATCTTTGTTGTTTTCTTTGAGTTCCCGTGGCAATGTGCAGTAGTAATTAACAGCTAGAAATGCATGAAATAATGGTTCCACACAGTGACAGTGGTTGTCCCCACTGTTATGGATTGGCATGAAGAACAAGAGGTTGATTTCAAGTGTGGTCCATTTGGAAGTGTTAAAAATCTCCAATTATTGACTAACATATGTTGTACAGCTTTTATTCCACTTCTGATACCTCCAAATCCAATTCTAATGAGAAAACCAAAATAGACAAGGTACAGCTTTGTACCGTCGCATGAATAACTCGTCTCAACTTGGGACCCAACACCCCAAGGAACCATGTTCTACTGCTTCTGTTCACTAGTCAGCGCGCAGATTTTTGTTGTTGCCTTCTAATCACACACTCACTGCTTCAGACAGCTCGTGCTTACTCTCGCACGCCACAACATGCCACCATTTCCTACTGTTCAATCTCTCACCTTAATAAATGCATGTTGTAAAACATTTGTTTCCTAAGATTTACAAAATCATATGCAGCATAAGATTCGTTAATTGAAGATTGGGGTTATTTTAAATGTCTTAAAACATGTTAGAAACAGTGTACAAAACAAAAATAAGGTAAGTTGTTCCCACTCCCACTCCCACTCCCACCTTAGTTTCTGACACATGCAAATGCAACTCAGTTTGCAGTAGAACATAATGCGATTGGTTACACCAAAATTGTGAAGAAACGAAATGCTTTTTGTAGGTGCTGTACTTTCCAGTGGCATAAGAGATACTGCAATGCCTTAGAAATTATTATGTGATCTTAGGTTATGTAGCTTTCTAACTAATATTTGCATGATCTATAATCAAATGTTAGATAGATAGATGTGAAATGGAAAATAAATTGAAATTGAAAACAGAAGAGTGAAATAAATGGAAAATAAATTGTATGTAATTTTTAAATTTAAACAAAGGAAAATTGAAAAATATTATAAATAAAAAATGACTCACATATAAATATCATTGGAATATAAATAATCTCTCCACAACATATAACGTACAACTAAACTTGCTTTGTTATAACTTTGCCTCTATATATTTAAGTTAGATTTTCTCTACTTTAAATTCTTTAATTAAATAATAATGTGTAGATATTTATTTAAACTGGTGAGAGAGTCATTTTATGCCTCTTAATTTTTAAATTAAAATTAAATAAGAAAATAGATAATTGAGTGGATGGTTGTAGATAGTTTTTGAGATTGTGAAAGGTTATAATGTGAAGGACTGAAAATGTCTTGATTTTTTATTTTTTTCTTAGCAATTAAGAAGTAGAATATATTAATAGAAGATATTAATTATTGAAAAGAGAATCCACATATTATCATTTAGTATAAATTCTCTTTGCTAATTTTCGGAGGTCACGTTGCCCCCAGTGAATGTCTCCACTAGGTGAACAAAGGGTGGAGTCTTTAATAAGTTTATCTTATAAAAAATCTTAGATAGACATTACTTGCCCAATTACTTATCTATCTCTTTAGTGGTATTGTTGATGTGAAATATTTATTAATTTTTTTATAACTAATTTATATTAAACAATTTATTATTTATATTTAGTAGGGATATTTCTCTTCTATTCATGTTTTCTTTGTTCATAAGACCTTAAATTGAAATCTTACTAAGAAATTTAAACTTACTAGCTTACACTAATAATTTGTTGGTTCTAGCCAACATATTTCATTTAATAATTAACATGTACTTTTTTTGAGTGTAAAAATTTGGTACATTATTTTTTCATGCTTTAGTCCATTTTCATTATATATACTAGCAGGTTATGCTTATCTTTAACAAGAATTTACAGGTTGGTAGGAAGTGAGAGGTTCAGTTTTTTAAAATGGCACTACCCCAACAGACAAGTAAGGAGGAATGGAATAAAAAAACAAAGTCATTTTTTCAGAAAAAAAAAAAAATAATAGAAGGAGGCAAAATTGAATTAGAGAAGGGAATGGTGAGACAGGCAATAATTCCTGACTGAAAAAGCTGGACTGTGACACTGTGTTAATTAAACTTGGAAACCTTCATTGTATTAAGGTTAATGATACGTTATTAGTTGGAAAAGTAAACCATTAGAGTCTCGTGAAAAGTTTGAAACTTATAAAATATATTCTTAATATTTTATTTTATTATAAAATTTGTTTTGATTCTTACTTTTATAATATTTATTTCATTAATTTAATTTTAAAATGTTATTACTCTTTTAAAGTAATGATCGTTTTCAATTTCATATAATTTAAATTCTTATCTTACTTATTCAATGTATGATGAATGAATGTTAAAATTAATATGTTTATTTTTTTATTAAATTCATTATTTAATTTTTTAAAATAAATTCATAATTGTTTAAAAGTTTATTTTTATATATTATATAAAACATTTTAAATGTTAAATATCTTAAAATTAATTTCATAATTATACTTTTACTCTTTTAGAATATTATAATATTTTAATCTATTATAATTTCATAATTTGCACTAATTTACATGAATTTTACTCTTCTAAAATGGAGATGTGTACATTAAAAGAATAAAGTGTATTTGTAATTATTATTTATAAAATCAATAATTAAAATTTATGATAAAACTATTTTTTTCAAAATGAAATTTAAAATTAATTATAATATTAATGGTTGATTTGTTAGTTAATGATTATTATTAAACTTTATTTTTTAAAATGTATTTTTTTTTTACTTTATAGTTTAGAGGAGTTATATCCTTTATATATTGGGTTTGAATTAATTCTTAATCCTTTGAATCCATATAAGCACAATGAAAATTTAATAAAAAGACGATATAAAGAAAAACTTTAAAAAGAGATTAAATAAGAAATCAGAATATTTTTAAAAACAACTCAACCTGTAAACTTTCATTTGAGTTACGTATGCATTCAATCATTTACGTATTTAAAACCATTTATATCCATCAAACAAAGGCAAAGGCCAGCTTGAATCGAGTTTGAATTTAAAGAATGAATCGCACATATACAATTTTTGTAAGAACAGCTCATAAAAAATAAAATAAAAATAAAATTGGTGTTTTTGTATAATCAATAATTTTTTTTTTTAAAAAAATTATCCAATTTTGGGTTTTTAACATTAATTGACATTAAACTCTTAACAAAATCATATAGTTTAAATCAGGGTCTAATTTAGAGTAAGATTTACTATAAAGTTTTTAGTTTATTCTAATCTAATCTTAAATCATTGGTTGATGGGGAAGCAAAGAACAGAAACACCGGAAGTGACAACACTAACAGGTTCCATCATGTATATAAAAAACCACCATATTGAGTCCCATAACATAAGCAGTTATATGAGAGTTCAATTCTCCACATATTTTGACATTAACCAAATCTCCATCTAAACATTAAATTATATAAACTTAAGATCTCGAGTGTTTGCCAAAATCTTGAGAGAACAACAATGAATGGTGTGTCTCAGATGCAGAGACAGTTGGCTGAATACACTTCAACCCTGTTTGAAGAAGTAAGTATGTCATACAATTACCAACACAACACACATTCAAGGGAAGCAGAAAAATAAAGTCTCATATATATATATATATATATATACATAAACTATGTATCTTAGTATCTTACTATATTGTCTTAGTTACTCACTGCATCTATTTTCTGCTGTCTCACTGTGTGTGTGGTTTTGAAAAGGGGTTCCTGGATGATCAATTTTACCAGCTTCAGCAACTTCAAGATGAAAGCAACCCTGAGTTTGTGGTTGAAGTGGTGACTCTTTTCTTTGAGGATGCAGAGAGGCTTCTTAGTGAGCTGGCAAAGGCACTGTAAGATTAATTCCTTATTCCTTGTTTGTTTTATGGTTTGGACCAATAGAGAATCACTTTCTGAATGCTGATTCATCCAAACACAGAGGCCAGGAAAACATTGATTTTAAAAGGGTGGATGCTCATGTTCGCCAATTGAAAGGCAGCAGCTCCAGGTAATAATATTCTTTACCACTACTTTCTTCTAGAAAAATAATTACAGTATCAACCGATCATAAATTATTATAGATATAATCTTTACGATAATTATTATAACAAACTTACTAAATATAATGATTTGTAATTAAAGACTAATATAAAACTATTTTTCACTCTTAATGCGTACGCGTAGCTTATTTTCTCTTTAAAACATATATGGTCTATTGAAATTTCACACAATACTCTTGTTTTTTTAAGCATACAGCGAGTCCATTTACAACAGTACATTATATATAGTGTGTTTGGAGCAGCTTCACAATAAATAAAAAATCAATTAACTTTTAACGATCAAGTTAAAGCAGCAAATAATTGTTAATTTCTACTTTTTTGATGATACCACCATGACTTTATGGGGTAGAATCAATTCTCAGTGGTATTCAAACACATTAGTAATATATTCATCAAATAATGTGTTTCTTTAGTAACAAGAAGCATTAAAAAGACATAAACATGGTGCGAAATCTCAAGAAATCATGTGATGTGAGTGTATTTTGGCCAAAACTTACAGGTAAAAAATGTTCACTAGAAGCCTCATAGCATACATATAGCGTAGTCTAGTCAAAGGTTGTACAACTTGTGGTGTTGGTGTCTTTTCTTGTACATGCATATCCATTTGCTGCACCATGAGTAGCACCTTTTTAGTGAGTGTGTCATTGCTTCATCTCACTACTACTCTAGTAATGTGTAACTGTTGCAACTTGCAAGGATTAATTGATACTGTGAGAGAATCAAATGTGATAAAGAGATGTTGGGTAGCTTAGCTCCATTGCAAAAACATCAGCCCCAACATAACTAACTAAATTAAGATTGATATAAATTTGTCACCCCCACTGAGAGGAAAGCACATAAATTCAAAGATTGATAGCGTGTTTGAATTCGCGTCAGAAAATTATGTCTTGCTGAATTTGACGCGGAAGTAACATATAAAAGTTTCTGATTTTCACGTTTTGGACGCACGTTAACTTCAATAAACGTGAATCCAAACATGCTATGAATCACCTTTCCTATTACTTAAAAAGGGAAAGAAAAAGAGACCCTTAAAACGGAGAAATTATTATATGGTTTGAAAATACCATGTGTTGTCGCGATCCATCTTAACGAGATATGTAGTTGAATTTTATTTATTCTTTCTCATAAATTGAAAATTTCAGCAACATGTGTTACATGAAGATAGCAAAAAAAAAAAAATCCAATCTCAAACTATACAATAATTTCTCATCAACTTAAATGCATTCTTAATTCATCAAATATGAGATATTTATTTATGTTTTATTCAAATGTTACCATAAATTTATCAAACAAAACTCAATTATCATTGAATGTGGTGTATAAGATCTTTTTATTAGTTAAAATATCATATTAAATCTAATATTATACAACTAATTTAATTTGTCATTGTCATTAGGTTCTAAGGTACAAATTAAATTTAAATTATAAAAACTAAAAAATAATTTAAAATTTAAGAGATAGGGAATAAATATATTCTTAAATTTAAAAAACTAAAAATATATTTAAATTTCTCCCTCTTAATGAACATATTCTCCTCTTCTTCTTCCTTCTACAGCTAGCATAATTTTTAATAACATCCATTGTGTTATTTGAATTTCAAAAGATTGACATAGTGTATGATACCGAATGCAATTATCTATTGTCTAATATACTTTCTTTTTTACTATACACTTGTTTCAACGACAAAAAAAAAAAAGTATTCTTCCTAAGGTATGAACATAACGGTGGAACAAAAAAAAAAGTGTTTTGATAAGGTTTCTGGATTGTTGGGAAATACAGCATTGGAGCACAGAGAGTTCAGAAGGTTTGCATTGCCTTCCGAAACTACTGCGAGGAGAAAAACGTTGAAGGGTAAGCGTCAAAATTGATCAATGATCATCAAGTTTTTATATACTATGGATACGAACTTTTCAAAATACCATGTCTAGTCACCTGCAAGCTTTTGCAATTTTTTAAAATAAATTTCAAATACGCTAATGAGAAAATAAGGGTTGGTATATTCAGGTGTCTTAAAAGCTTACAGGAAATCAAACAGGAGTGTTCCCTGGTCAAAAGCAAGTTTGAAATTCTCTTCAAGGTAAGGATAGTATTTATTTTTTTTTTCCTTTTTACCTTGTCTGTGCAAAGTGTTTACTAATTTGGCTAATAATAAATTTTGTTAATAATCAAACTTGATATTAAATTTATAATATCCATGCACCTTCTTTAATCAACTAAATAGACTATGAATTAAAAGTGTATAATATGTATATATAAATGTATAATAAATTTTAATTGGTTTATAATTTAAAATTCTTTACTCTAATAATAAAGTTTTCATGTCTCCTTATATTTCTACTTATCTGATTATAGATGGAGCAGAAACTTTTGCCGCAGAGGATTCGGTTACCAGGTAGTGATTGATAAGGGGCAGGGATGTTCATACTGCAATTTGGAAATTGCAATAATCACAACTCCATAAGAGAGCAAGCTTCATGTACAATCTACATACATGATGGACATTCCTCTGTTCTAATTTTCTCATTGTTTATGATTTTGTCCACTCTACTATTTGTGCAATATTTTATAAACTGTCTTTTATCTTTGTCAACTAAGCAGAAATATATGGTACTGTGGATGATGTTTTTTTTTAATCTTAATAATATGTTGCATTGTTCTTATTTACTTAAGGTGCCAAAGTTGAATGCTACATTGAATCATTAGATTCTGTTTAGCGTTGGGTAGTATTAACAAAATATTAAGTTTTATTACAGATATTGTAATTTTTAAAGATAAAAAAAAGTAGAATGCTACATTATGATGATAATACCTTAATAAAATGGTTTTTTTTTTTTTTCTTTCTCTTGAGCGTCAAACTTATGGTTAGGAATGAAAAAAAATGGTATCTACTAATGTTTGTTTATAAAACTTGTCATAAATAGATGGTTAAATAGTAGAAGATAAATAGTAAGATGTTGGTATTTATAGATATTTGTACTTTTAAAAATATTAAAAATATTTTTTATTATATAAAATAATTTGATTTAATTAATTTTTACTATAAATATATATTTCATAAATATTTGTTTTAGTACAAATATATCACAAAAAATATTTTAATATAAATGTATCTTTTTAAAATAATTTTTTTAATTTATTTTATTTCCCATCTTTTATCTAATTTTTGTATTTTAACAAATATTCATAAATGATGTGAATATCTGCAAACATATAAAATTCATGGATAGCCACTAAATAAATATCCACTCCCACCCATTATCATTTCTACTTATGGTTATAATATCATATGTTTTCAAATTAAAATATTTTAATAATTAAATTTAATCTTTAAATTGAAGAATCTTATTAATAAAATCATCTACAATATTTGAATAATTTAATTTTTAACTTTTAAACTATTATTTTTAAATAAATTATTAGAATAAATTTTAAAAATATTACTAAAATGTTTTCTAAAATTATTTATAAGATCTTGTTTATTTTATAATAACTATCTACCGATACTCATGAAAATTTAAAAAATTTGATTCTTTCATAAAGTATTTATCCGAGGAGATAGATAATGAAAAGGTACTACTCATACCCGTTCCATCTTGTTGACACCCCTATTTGTGTTTGATCATAATCTATTTAAATTTTGATTGAGTCAATTTTAGACTTTAAATTTCTCCTTTTAAATGAATCTAAGTTGAATTATATAAAGTTTATTTCGATAAGTGACACAAATTATAACTTTTTTATTAATGTAGTTGAGATTTTGAGAATAATTTGTATTTTATTATCATACATGATATTATGTGGATTAAATAAATATTTATAATAAAAAATTGTTTTGACATTAGTACGAAGAACACAAATAAAAAATGTTTATAGTTTAAAATTTTTCAATGAAAAAAAGGGAACACATCGAAAACATACAAGGATGAGTTAGACCAAGTTATATATACTTTTTTTTTCTAACTTATTCTTAAATTTTGATGGGATCAAATTTGTAGAATCTAACATGTTCCTATATTTGAATAAACATAGTTTCTTTTAGTAACTTGTAACATGTTCTAATATGTTATTTTTTAACAATTTAACTTATAAGTTCATATATTTTGGACTAAATTAATCTTTAAGTTCATATAGTTACAAATCTTTTAATTTCTTTTTATAATTTAAAAACGTGTAATTAAATCACTAGTCATTAATCATATTACAATTCTATTAATTTATGTTTACAAGATATTGCGACATATGCTAATTGATTACTTTTTTATTATGTTAATGTGATATATTGATATGTTAATTACTTCTTTATTTTCATTTATTTTAAAAGCCTTTAATTAAATCCTTACTTTTAAGTTTTAATTGCTAATAGATAATGATAAATTTAAAAAGTTAAAATATTTTAACTGAAATGGTCAAATACTTAAAATATTATTAATTTTTTATATACATTTTTAATGTTTGATAATAGTTACTTTATAAGTTTATAATTTAAATAATTATTTAATACTTGGATCATATATAGACCAATTTTATATGCAGGCATAGGATTGATTAAAAATAAATAACATCATCATGCTTATGCCACACACATCCTTCTCCTGTCTTGGGCTTTGAATAACATCCATTGCCCCACCAAATATGATATTGTTAATATGACTAGTGTAACTCGATGTTTCATTTTCAAAACTAATTATAGGATATCCTCTCTCTGTTAAATTTGCAATGGTCGTATTCACATGCATCGATTTTCCCATCGCCACATGATTGTTTCCCTTTAAAAAAAAATTAGAGTGCAATTTTCTTTTTTGAAAAATCATTATCACTTTTTTTCCTAGAACTAAAAATATCACTCCACCAAATTATAAACTATATTTTAATTATTTATTTATTCATAAGATTTTTTTTGTCATTTTAATTTTTTTAAAATAATAATTATTTTTAATATAGATACACAATTTTAAATATTTTTTTTCGATTCATTTTTATTATGTTTATAGTATTATTTGGTTCAAAAATCAATTAGATTTTATAGTTTTTATATAAGTAAATTTAGTGTAATAAATTGTACATTTTAAATCAATAAAAAAAATTAAAATCATTTATTAAAATTGAAAATAATAATTATTTTAAAAGAATTAAATTAACTTAATTTTAAAAATAAATAATATGAAGAATTAAAAAAAACTGATTTTTAAAAAATAAGATGAATGACAAAAATAAAATAAAATTTAGTCGATTATAAAATATGTATTCAGATTAATTTATTAGTTATTATTTGGGCTAAAATAGTCATAACGAGTAGCCTTGCAGATTTTGACATTTTTGTGAGGAGTGTTCTAAAATGCTGGAAAACGAAAAAGCAGTTTCCCGCGAATCTGAGTGGGGGTGCCACGTTGGCAATCCGCGTCTCACCCTCTCGACCAATCAGAGAAGATTCTCGAACCCTATATAAAACCATTCCACCCGTAACTCTCTCATCAGCGCCTGCTTCCTCACTTCTCACACACTTTCCGTGCTCCAACATCGAATCGCAAATTCTAGGGTTAGGGTTTTCAATTTCTTCCTCCATCAGAAAATGAGTTCCACTGGCGGTTCAACCAAGGGCGGAAGGGGCAAGCCCAAAGCCTCTAAATCCGTTTCAAGATCGCAAAAAGCTGGCCTCCAATTCCCCGTCGGAAGAATTGCTAGGTTTCTCAAGGCTGGTAAATATGCTGAACGCGTTGGTGCTGGTGCTCCTGTTTATCTCTCCGCGGTTCTCGAGTATCTCGCTGCTGAGGTTTGTGTTTTGTTTATTAGGTTTAGGTTTCATTGCTTTTTGTGTTTCTGATTCTGTTCAATCTGTTTGTTCTTGTTTCGATTTTTGTTTATAATGTTTGATTGTTGACACTGTTAGGGTTTTGGTGGACTGGAATGTTTGAACTGATATGTTTTAATTTGTTGATGTTGTGTTTGTTTAGGTGTTGGAACTGGCTGGGAATGCTGCTAGGGACAACAAAAAGAATCGTATTGTTCCCAGGCACATTCAGCTTGCGGTGAGGAATGATGAGGAGTTGAGCAAGCTTCTTGGATCTGTCACCATTGCCAATGGAGGGGTTTTGCCCAATATTCACCAGACTTTGCTTCCCAAGAAAGCTGGCAAGGGCAAGGGTGAAATTGGATCTGCTTCTCAAGAGTTTTAGGGTTTTTGATGGATGGGTTTAGACTATAGTTTTGATTTTATCGTGGCTGTAATATACGTGGTTTTGGTATTTTCTATATATCTTCTCTGAGAGATTAAGTATTTCTCAGTCAGGTGAACTGAATGGTGTATATCACTTTTGGGTGGGATATCAATGCGAAGTCATGTTTTGATGAATTATAAATGGATGCCATTAAAAAAGCGGTGTTATGATAATATTTTTTCTCCATGGTTGATATTTGCTTTGACTGGTACACACTGTTTTGGTTTTATGGGCTGGCAAGTGATGATGAGATTTAGTTTTCAATATGAGCCTGCATGTTTGCTTTGTTGATGTTTGGCTGCTGGAATTTGTAGGTGTACTTTTGCTGGCTTGTTGCTCCAACTGATAGTTCTGGTAATGACATTTTGAGAACGTGTATCTTTTATGTTTATGCTTTATGCGTGTTGGAGGAGGGGAGGATCGAAAAGGATGGACTAAAATAAGTGAATATTGGTTATATAAGAAATATTGTAGAATTTATACTTGGTTGTTAGTGAGAAATTTATATTTTGAAATTTAATTTTATATAGTTAGATCTTTAATTTAAAATGTTATTTGGATAATTATATTTTTATTAATTAATTGTTTAAAAAATAGAATAAGGGTAGTTTTGGTCAAAATTTTACATAAAAAAATTCAGAAGTGGGTAAAATTAAATGTACATGAGCTTTACTACAAATTCCTTAATTCATTCTCACCACAAACATGTCCAACGAAATTTTAGTTCCTTGATAATGTCCTTTTTGTTCCCTACTAAATTACATCCGCAAACATACCATTAAACTTTGGAGTTACACTGGTTTTCTTGACTGTTGTTTCTTCCTGTCAAGTGTCTGTTGTAGTGGCTGTCATGCGTTTGGGTAGGTAGGTTCATCAAGTGTTTAGGTTATTCTTCTTTATATTTTAGAGCAAGGGTCCCATTGCAGGTTCATCAAGTGTTTAGGTTATTCTTCTTTATATTTTAGAGCAAGGGTCCCATTGCGGTTTTTATTTATTTTTCTGGTCCCCCTCCTTTTTTGTGTCTTGTTATTGGTTAATTCTTTATTTTTCCTGAGCAAGGTTGCTGCTATTTTATCATGTCGTATTTTCATAACGAGGATACGCGCATTTACCCCCAATGTTGCAAATTTCATGACTTTTTCGGCTAGTTTTAGGTAGTCATGTAGTTAAGTTGGTGTGTGGGTGGGGTGTAGTTTCTTTTGACTTTAGATTCCTTGTTCTCTGCTCGTAGGAGAACAACGTAGATCAAGAGTGAAAGAAGTAAAATTCTACGACTAACGGTTAACAAATATAAGGTCGTTTTTCTGTGTTTTATGCGAAAGCTGCTGGTGATTGCAATTTATTTTATTTATTTTATTGGTTTTATGAAAGCATCATGACTTAAGGAATCTCCCAACAAGGAATGACATAAAACTAGCAGTAAAATTGCAGAGCATCAAATTGATGAAACAATTAGACAGTTTTTGGTCTATACTTTTTTGCCGTAGCGATATCTCACGAACCCTAAACAAAATAAGCTACAATCGTAAGCGTACTTTGCTTTGTAGTGTGTCACCAATCGGTTTAAAAACTGTCAATATCTTTATGTTAGAAACGTCGTCGTCAAATATCGAGTAGTACATTCTTCATGCTAGACATATATTCTTATATTTGCAATCATGCTGTCCGAATCTGTTGTAATTTTTTTCGTTAATTGGTGATAACAAAGCAATACACTATGTTTATTATTTTGCAATTTTTTTATTTTTTGTTTAATTTATCTCAGCTATTCAATAAACAGTAACTCTTGGTTAAACGTAAAAAATGTTTCTATGGTTTCATAATTGGTTATCTTGTAATTATGTGGTGAAGAAGGCGTGCAATGAAAAATGCAAAATGGGCCTTCAAAAGCTACGTCGGTGCAAAACAACCAAATACGCAGTAGATAGAGGTAATCCCAATAATTTGGTTTAAATGGTGGGTTTGGGTTTGAGTTTGATGCAGTATGTGGGTGTAGCCTTGACATCATCGTGCCCTAAGGTCCGAATCCAATGTTCCTCCAACGTTGGGGTGTCTAGGCAGCAAGTGTTGGAGAAAGTGGACAAGGAGCTAGCAAGAGGTGATGATAGAGCTGCGCTCACACTTGTGAAGGAATTGCAGGGTAAGCCTGGTGGGCTTCGGTGTTTCGGTGCAGCCAGACAGGTTAGTCTTGCGTTTCTTCTCAACCTTCTGTAGTTTTTTCTTTGGATAATCTTTCTCCTATGCTTATTCAGGTGCCTCAAAGGCTTTACACCTTGGATGAATTGAGGCTAAATGGAATTGAAACTTTGTCTCTTCTGTCGCCCGTCGACACCACTCTTGGTTCAATAGAGAGAAACCTCCAGATTGCTGCTATTGTGGGAGGGCTTGCTGCATGGAATGCCTTTGGAATTTCCCCACAGCAACTATTCTATATATCACTCGCGTTGCTATTTCTGTGGACACTAGACACGGTACTTAGTATTAGAATCAATTTATACACTTATACTTTTGAAGAAATTTATCTAAATAAGGTCACCAGATGAGTGAAGTGATTGAGGTGTTCCTAGAAGACCCATCAATTTTATGCTTGTTTGCATGTTCTGCTGATCATAACCATTTTTTTCTTAGAACAAATCCTACTTGCATATTGGGGAGCTTATTTACTTTTTCTCCTATTTTCCAATGCAAATGAAAGATTTTATTTCCAATATCCTATTTGCCACCTAATAACATTGTTGAAACTTTGGTCTTTTAGCAAGTCAAATGATATCCTATAAACCATGTAGCCAACATCACCCAGCGGGATAAGGTTTGGTTGTTGTATTTTAATTGCCACCTCTGCCAATAACAGACTTTGTAACTATTGAGGATTGAAGGTTCATTGCATTGTAAAACTCTGGACCAAGTTTGTCTATCAATCTTCATCATTACATTTGGGTTTTTTCATCCAATTGATTGTTTGCAGGTTTCTTTTGGTGGAGGTATTGGTAGCTTGGTTGTTGATACGATTGGTCACAGCTTCAGTCAGAAATACCACAATAGGGTTATTCAAGTCAGATTCATGCCATTCAATTATCATGCACTTATAGTAATTTTATTTCTACTAACTTACATAATCTTAATGACCATTAAGTAACCATAACAAAATATAATTATGCAGCATGAAGCTGGTCACTTTTTAATTGCTTATCTGGTAGGAATACTTCCTAAAGGATATGCTATTTCTAGTTTGGATGCTCTACAGAAGGAAGGATCTCTGAATATTCAAGCTGGCACAGCCTTTGTGGATTTTGAGTTTCAAGAAGAAGTAGGTTGCTTTGCCCCCCCATAATGCAACTTATTTAACTTTTAAGGTACCGCACAGAGAGAAAGTAACAACTAGGGATGTGTCTTTGCTTGACTGTTTGTCCTACTAAATACTAGTAATCCAGCTTTGACCTTTGTTACAATTTACTGTAAGACTGTCTCTGACTGTTTCAGTTGAGTGAATATATGTTTTTAACTCGGTAAACTGCTTGATTATCCAGAGTATCACTTGAACTGCATTTAGTTGACACCGATATCTGTTAATTGTTAGCACCTTTCACTTCATGCAGGTTAATACGGGAAAAGTATCAGCTACAGTACGTTGTTATCTTACTAACATCTAATTTTCACATTTACATGTTTGTTTTAGCCAATGTTCTGCAGATTATAAAGTTTAATTATGTGACAAAACCTTTGTTCTGTGTTACTAGACATTGGACAAATTTTCGTGTATAGCATTGGCTGGGGTGTCTACCGAGTATCTTATATATGGATTTGCTGAAGGAGGTCTGGATGACATAAGAAAGGTCTATGCAATTTTTTGATTCAGGGCATGTTTGGATAAATATATTTAGAAGTACTTGTAGGAAAGAAGAACAGAAAGGAAAATTAAAATAAACCTAAAGAAAATAAGATTATGAAGAAACTAATAAGAGAGAACTTCTGTAAAATAGTTTAACTTATGAAGAAATTTATTTCATTTTTTTTTTTAATTTTCTCTCTTAAAAATACTTCTGAATAAGTTTATCCAAACAGACCTTTACTTTCTTAGTCATGACATATGGAAAGCTCAAATGGCATTGACATTACTAACTATAGTTTTCTTAATTGTAAATAGTTGGATTTATTGCTCAAGGGCCTAGGTTTCACCCAGAAGAAGGCAGATTCTCAAGTTAGATGGTCTTTGCTAAATACGGTCTTGCTCTTGCGTAGGCATGAAGCAGCTCGAGCTAAGCTTGCAGAGGCATTGTCAATGGGAAAATCTGTAGGATCCTGCATTGACATTATAGAGAATTCTATGGATGTTTCAGATCTCTAACTGAAGATTGACCCCCCTTGATTCTTCAACTACTCTAAACTTTGCTTCTGGATATGTTGATTCATATTTCCATGAATTTTCATTTGGTATTATTACCTTGGTCGGTTCTTGGAGCAAAATGGGAATATCTTGTTTTACAGTGGAAAGCAGGAATTCAATACAGTTTATTGATTCTTCTGGTTATCACTTTCGGAGGCTGTGTCAAAGATCATTTGCAATGAGAGAAAATGACAATCTTGTTTATTATTTATTGTATGCGGTGAGTATTGTTTTAGCATATATTTTTAAGATATTAATAGATATTAATTATAATCATTTTTTTTAATTTAATACTAGTTTTTTCAAATTATTAAGACTATTTGTAGGAGGATTTATCATTTCTTATAAATTTATAATTTTGAGGTTTAAATATTCTATGTGAAATACATATTTTGGGCCAGCCTAGCCCATTTTGGGATGGACAGTCGCTGGTTGACAACTTTGTGAGCAAAAATCTTGGCAAATGATGATATATACACTTTCTCTTTTTAATAAATACTCCCCTCTTTTTCTCGCTTTTTTTTTAAAAAAAAATTCTTTAAATATTTTTTTTTGAAATAAACTTTATTTAAAAAAAAACTTTCATTTTTGTTCATAACATTTTTTTCATCCCTCTTTTTCTTTTGTTATCTGTTCCTATTTAACTATTCTTTGTTGATTTTACTTACTTTTTTTTTTCTTGATTTGTTTCTCAAACAATCAAGATATTTAATCTCAATTATTATTATTATTATTATTTTATATATTTTTTTAACTTTATTTTTTACTCTCAATGTCATCATTTTTATATTTTTTTACCTTTCAATATTATTTCCTAAATTAAGTATAAGGTAAAACTTAATGTGTTAAGTAATTTTTTTATAGATAATTCTTTGTGATTAATTTAATACAACCTATATATAATAAGGACCGATATCTTTGTTATTAGTCATGCAAAAATAAACGAATGTAAAAAAAATGTTTGTAGATTTTTTTAAGAGGTCTTTGTTGATTTTTCAAGATAAGATTGATTATAATTGATTTTGTTTTATTCTTTTTAATCTGTGTTGTACTTGTTAAAATGGGCTTTCAAATATTTCCTAAATTATATATATAT